TTATGTAATTCATATATATATATATATATATATACACACACTTCAATGCCACCTAAAATACATAAAAATTACTAGAATTTAACATATTTTAAGCTCACCAGAATTCTTGCAATGAAAGTGCTCAATAGATAACTAGAGCTACAATATTCAATGAATTAATAAATCTTCAAGCAACTTATATCTCTTGACCAACTCCAAAGTTTCACATAACGCTGCTCATCAGACTCAGATGGTTTAATAAATCTATTGAATTATTACCATTATTTAAATACTGTCACATTCTTAATAGTCTCTCACATGATGCTTGTTTGAAATTTACAGTCTATGATTAGTGTTTATATTATATCTGGTAATAATTAAATAGATTTACCAAACCTTTTGACACTGATGAACACTATTATGTAAAACTCTGTAGTTGGTCAAGAGATATGAAATAAGGCACTTGAAAAAACACACACACACGTATGATAGGATAAGAGACAAATAGATGTTTATAAATCTAACATGGTCCACCTTTATTAAAATTTCATCAGAGAATACGATATGGAGAAATAAAAGAAAAAATTCTGCTATTTTTAATTTATTTTTAAACATGTCAACTTAATTTTAAAAAAACATTTGCTATATAGGAAATACTTCAAGGGGATTCTGATAAATTACTTACCATCTATAAACACATGTCAAACACACTATATTCCATCACAAACCTTTATAAGATCCATACTTAAAGAATCTAAAATATGTTTACCTCCCACTACCACCACCAGGACAGACAGTGTTATGTAAAAACGTCCCCAAATCAACATGCACACAACTACCATACATTATTAAAAATGCCTACTAAACAGACACATAAACAAATACACATTATTGTCAGTGGCGTGGCTAGAGTAAAGGTCACCCGGGGTGGTCCGCTCAAATGTCACCCCAATGACCCCGATTCACCCTATGCTGAATGGTTAGCTGTAGCTAAATTTTCATACATGCTCTACCTCTACTTTACTCTACTGACCGGTACATTACTGTTTACATGTATGATCCAAGACAAAATCCAATACCACAAAATAATCAGTTCAAATCAAAAGATTTTTAAAATGCAACTGTTCACTTTCAGAACAACTAAATACAAAACACAGCAATACACAAAAGAATGACATTTGGTACTATGGTCTTAGAATGAATGTTTTCTTGTTTTCATTATGGCAAACTGGTCAATGACATTGTCAAAATCTGTTTGTCTTGTAAGCTCGTTTTCAATGGACAGCACAGCCAGATCCGACAGTCTCGACTGGCTCATGGTTGACATAATTTTCTGTTGCTAATTTTCTGGTGTCCAATTTTCCGTTGCATCATTTTCTGGGTACCATTTAATTATCAATGATGTTTGAAAGTATTTTTCTTGACAAAAATGTTCTATTTAATTTTTAAGCATTTTTCAGAACATTAAATCAACTGCATTCTTTTAAAGGTTACCTAGAGAATTTATGCAAAGTTTATTTTTTTGTTTTTCTTTATACAAGTAAAATAAATTTACATTGTATTTTGATGTTATTATGATTTTAGTTTTAGTGATAATTTAAAAACAATAAATATTTATCATTAGTACCAATAATGGAAAATTAAGTTAAAAATTTAAAAGAATTTTCCTATTCTGATACAGTTTCCAATACCCCCAAAAGTTCCGATTTTTCCGATTCTCGATTCTGATTAATCGTCCCAACACTAGTAGATATATTCAAAAGTATATCGCTCACTCAGTGGAAAATTGTATCTCAGCGAATTGATACATAGGCAAGAATGAAATTATTGCACTTTTGGCTTCGTATTTCGCTTTGTTGTTGTTAATGATGCAGCGTTAAAACACCATATCATCCGATAAAATGTTACAACAATGTCTCTTGTTAGTAACCAAGATTGTAGCAACTGAAACACATGAAAGCTGAAAACATTGCTATTTTTCCTACTCACAAATTTCCCAACAATTTATTAAAAAATTTCTGACGGGAGGACAAAACTGGGGGGGGGGTCATAAATTATTTCTGTGGGGTCATATGCCCGCCTGCAAAACCGTGTCTCCACCACTGTTTTCAGACTATTTTTGGCACCTTAGCCTGGTTGAAAAATTTTGTTGGGGCTAACATTGTGTCACCCCTCCTATGCTGGCACCCGGGGCGGTCCGCCCTCACCCCCCTAGCTACGCCACTGATTATTGTTCAAATCCCACACAGACAAAATAGAATCATGATACTTACACACATAAATTTATACACGCATTCTACTTTACAAGACACAATGCACATGAAGTTCACTTAACCAATGAAAAACAAACAACACAAAAATTAAAAATACTACAAATTTTTTTCTTTCTTTTTTCTCCAAATCTCATTCTCTGATGAAGGTTTAATAAAGGCGAAACATGTTAGATTTATGAATGTCTCCTATTTGTCTCTTATTTTATCATTCTGCCAAATTCTAATCTATATTTGATCCCAGTTTACCTACATACATACATACATATATATATATATATATATATATATATATATATAATTCAAAAGCTCAGGTAACTTAAGGCATTAAATACCTTACACAAAGAAAAATATGATAAAAAATAAAGTTCTTTCTTTACTGATGAAGTGATTTTGATAGATATCTCAAATGTCTAGTGAGACATGAGAAACTCTTACATGTGCGTGTATATGCCTTGAAATACAAGTTTAATTCATTCCAACACCAATCTTGTAACTCAAAAGACTTATTGTTTTTCATCCTTGTATTGTTTGATATATTGAAATGTAATTGTCATCTTTGATAATGGCTTATGTAAGCTGAAAGCTTAGATCGGATTTAAACATGTATCAATATGGTGATTTCCTTTCGTCTTTCAATGATAATATTATTAAGCTTATCAAACAATATGAAAGGAACTTACTTAAAATAAATAGACACCACTTGTCTATATTATTTAATGAAACATGCACCAATATATATATATATATATATATATATATATATATATATTTGTGATTTGGAGTGTTTAATTGATAGTAATAATAAAAAAAAAGTTTGAAAAAATATTTCTTGAAGAAGTGCAATTCTGTAGAAAGTCCAATGTATTTTTTACTCCATTAGGATGGTGAGAGAAACCTAGGAATATTGGGTTTGATAATAAAAAAAAAATACCCAAACGTGGTTTTCAGAAATTTGTTTGCTCAGAAACTAGGATTCTTAAATTTACATACAAAATACCACATCTATCAATATTTTCAGTGCTAAATAATGTATGTGTACTGATAAATCATCAGTTACCGCCCCTTAAGATCAAGGAGGTATAAAAATCACCCTGTAATAGCCATCAATAGATGAGTAGTCAGAGTAAAGTGCAATAAAGCTTTGGTATAAGTTTATTCACTGGTTCTGTTTTTACTACAGTATGAACAGATACTAAATCTAAAAGAATGAAATTAAGCTTTGTATTCTCATTATATGTAAAAATATTGCTAAATTTTTACAATATCTAATTTTCTAAAACAACTTTAATTTGACCCTCAACATAAAAAGTAAAACAAAAAATAATTTAACATTTCATTTAACCACTAAACGTTCATTAAAACCAATATCATTTACATTCTTGTAAAATTCATGCATTCCAAATGATTGTATAACTAAAATTAAAATGAAGTTTTTTTTTTAAAAACAAAAAAAAATGTAAAATAATTTTGTATTTCATTTAACTAGTAAATATTCATTAAATCCAATCCTATTTCTATAAAATCTTCTCTTCACTGTGTCTCTTCAGGAGATGGGTGATCATAACTCTCCGCAAACTCTCATCTTTTGTTGCTCTTAGTAAGGTTTGTTTTTTTGCCATCCTTCACAATCCCTGTTCTGCTGTTTATTTACACAATTTGTATTCAACAGGTCTTGTGAGTGTCAAATTCTCCAAGACATCTTTCCTCGTTATGTGTCCTAAAAATTTCAACTGTCCCTTTCTAAACAAATGTTTTATTAAAACAAAATTTTAAATAAATTAAGGAAGTTTTAAGTTACTTTTAAATTCTGTGATTAAGTAATTTAAGTATTTGTTGTAACCTAGGGTAGGTTACTGAATCAAATAATCACATGAAGAATGGTAATGAATGATAATACTTAGGACAAAGACAATATATATTAGATTAGCCAGCAACATGTAGAAGTAGTAGTCAACTGTATTCCTCAATAAATCTCCAACTGCAGGATAACTACCAACTACCCCACACAGACAGAGGTGGCACAAAGTCGAATTTAATGTGGGGTATCTGAGCCTGTAGGCTCTGTCAAAAATTTCCCGTAGACCCTGTATAATACAGGGTTAGGTAGCTGTTTCCGAAGATGAGACTTTGCCCTTCGACATAGCCTCATCTGGGGATCTTCTCTGCCCGGAGGCAGAGAGTTTGACCAGCACAGCTGGAGACGAATCTCCAACTGCAGATCAACATACAGTATTTACTACTCTGTTTATGAATAGGGACATACCCATTATCATCTGTAGGTATACTACAACTTTATTAATGTTTAACTAATTTTTTTTTTTTTCTGCTTTTCATCAAAATGCTGTTGAGTGTTCCAATTTTCAGGCATTAAATTTAAGTGTAAAACCAAGATAAAGACATCTTCTTTTCTTTATTCTTATTTCATGCAGTTTATTTTCTCAATCAAAGAATGGGTTAACTTAGAACCTTGGGATTTCAAAGAGCAATGAAAGATGAGAAAAAAAATTGGTTGAAAATTAAAATTGAACTTACTTCATCTTGGAATTTCAAACAAATTAAGACTACTACTGATGTGAACTAATAAAGAGTAAACAAAAATTGGCATAAAAAAATGAATAAATGAATGATTAAATAAAGACCCTGCTTTTTTCTCATGATGAGCGCTTAAGATATTGGCTACAAATTCATGTCTCTTTGAAAGCAATTCTTTATTTTGATTTCCTGCAATTTATATTAATAATCAAGGTTTATGGCCACATCAGATTGAAACACCAGTTTCCATATCATCACCAAAGTTAAGAAACTTTGAGCCAGGTCAGTACCTAGATGGCTGACTGTATGGAAATATCAGGTACTGTAAGCTTGGATGTGCAATTGGTGTAATGGATAATGGCATGGAATTGTTAATTGGTGAGCCAAGTTCCAATTCCCGTTTGGTTTGTTATATTTTTTTATGCACAAATACCCTTAGGAACAGTATGAATCTACCTCTTCTCCCTCCAGCTATGGGTTAATTAGTAATAGTTGTATCACTAAACCATTATTTTATTTCCCCCACCAAAAATAACATTCTTACAATCTAAAAAAATACTTCATGGCTGTAAATAACCTGCAATGGATTGATAAGCTGTAGAAAACAAATCAATCAAATAATCTTAATAATCAAATGTCACCTTAGAATATTTTAATAAAAGGAAAATATTTTAAAAAAACAAAAAACTATCAGTGAAATAAAGGGAGTAAAAACCAAAAAAAACATAATAGTATAGGCATTGTCCTATTAATAGACAATTCATCAAACACAGAAGAACTGTCTTCAGGGAATCCAGAAGCCCAATGTCTCAACTTTTATGAGTCGAACAAGACTTCATGTGCATTAACAAGCATTTCTTATCTTTGTATGCACTCTTAGATAAAACTGGATCGTCTGAAGGTATCATTTTCACCCACTGCGGTCAGTCAGTAGATGCTAGTATTCTTTGTGTATTGTTACTAGTGTCTGGTTGTAGTGCAGATGACTATGGATGTAACATTTCCCTCCCCACCTTTTATATATATATTTTTTTTTTCATTAGAAAGCTAAGTGTTTCTTGTTTTTATGGTATTATCTGCGTCTTATTTGTATCTATGTACAGGGGTTTATGTGCGTGTGTGGGTACACATATACATACAGATGTTGGGGTAGCTAGTTGCCAGCTGATGGGAGAAGTTTGTTTAGGATATATTTATAACAGGAAGTTCTTTGCAGGAATTGTCATATTTGGAGTGCATACCTATCTATGATGGATGGGTGAAAAGATCATAAGCTAACCAAAACGCTCTCATGAAATGTGACCAAATGAGGTTTATTTTTCAAAATTATCTCCCTTGCCAATTTACCTGGAAAAAAAAATGCAATTATTAAGAAGAGTTAATTTTTTATCAAATGATACTTTAATGAACAATTTTGTGTAAAAATTTGTATAAAATTTCAAGCATAAGATTTTTTAAATATTATTTTAGACCTAATGTTTACTTGGATAGGAAAAAAAGGTAAAAAAAAAAAAAATAGGTAAAAATTTTAAAACAACTACTTTAATTTCATGTTTATTATGGTAGTAAAATTTTTTAAATATTTTACTTTTTAAAACCTAAAACTAACTTTGTTTTTGCTGTTTTTCATTAATGTTAAAAAAATACTTTCATTTTTTTAATCATTTATTTGTTTATTCACTTATTCATTTCACCCCAAGCAAGGTGATAATGCCACTAAGATGCAAGGGGTTACTGAGAGTAAAAGAGAATGAGAAAACTAGAAGGAACTGGAAACAGGATAAACCTCTACTCCTGTTCAATAAATGTGGAATGAATATGAAGCAGGTGATAGACAAACATATTTACTATGTTTACTATAGCAACATTGTAAAATATACGATTCTCAAGAAATATTAAAGTGATTTCTCATTCTCCAGATTTTAAAAACATTTTGTTAATGATCTGAAGATGTTCTAAGACTCAGTTTGATAAAAACATTTGAAAAAAACAAACTATTTTTAAAGCATGTTCTCATTGGTTAAAATTTAATTTACCCCAGTCTTAACAGAACCAACTTTTATAACTGAGAGGGTAACCTGGAATAATTCAAAGAGAATTACATGCTATTAGAAAAGAAATGAAAATCAACTTAGTAATGGGTAACCATTAAAATGCCTGAGTTAATTTCAAATATTTTCAGGAAATTTTTTTTAATTAAATAATTGAAATTTAGCATAACAAAACAAATTAACTTATACACCTGGCCATCCAGGCTGAGGATGTCTAACAAACTCCCCCTCATTAGAAGTGAAACATTTTCCCTAGGGTCTATCCACACAGCTAGAATGCTCTCTTTGCACAGGATTATGGGTATATTGGAATATCTGCAGCAATAACTGAAAAAGTCAAACAATTTTTGACAACTCATCACATGATATTCAGTAAAGTAATCACGCATCATTGAAAGGCCTTCTGCTATATTTGTCTGGTTCAGGGGGACAAATTAATGCCATTACATATTTTTGATAATTAAGTGATATTTGGATAAATCTATATAAATTTAATGTGTAAATTCTACAGAAGTAAATTCAAAGAGTGATTATTTTTAACTAAATAAATCTAGATGGAATTTAGGTTTCACCATCAGGCTGTAGATACCAACTAGCTACACCAATTCTTTCATATGTATCTTATTAGCAACTCTTCTTTAATGCATGTTTAATTAAAAACAAACACAAGTAATTTTTTCTTTGGTTATTTTATTTTGGAATAGTTCCAATTTCCTGATGAATGTCTCTCTTTAAATAATTTGTCAACTGAAATAAATGTCTGTTTTCAGAAAAGTAGATATTCAGATCTTAATTTAACAAGAAAAAATGTCAAAAATTTTAAAAATGAAATAGACATCCGAATCTGAATATTTAAAAATACCAAAGAGACAAGTGATTCCACTGGGAAATTGAGGAAGTTTCAGAAAAAAAATGATAAAGAAAAAGTTTAACACACTTTTCTAATGAAATATCAACACCCCCACATTTACACTTATTTAGATATATATGAGGATTGCTGAAAAGATCTCACCCCCACCCTAATCCATTTCCTCCAAAACTGACCAAATGAGCAAACAAAAATTTTTGTAGGTAGAGGGTTCTTGATCAAACTGAGAACATTTCAGCACTTCCTTATAGCTCTCTTCTCTTGCAAGTGTATATATATATATATATCGATTATAGCAGTCCAATTTATAATTACATGAATCATTCATACACAAAACAAATATAGAGGTTAATGATTTAAATGGCGAGAATACATCTTCGCAAACAATTTCAATAAAGTACACTAACCCCGAACCTGTATATGAATGATATGATCCCTGTTTATAAATAGATGTAATCCGAAAAAAATGCTATGAGAAATGTGTTATTGTTTTGGAACGTGCGGTCACAATGCTGAGTTTGAATTTTAAGGTTGTGCGTTTTTGTACAAATATAGTAATAGGAGAATTCTTTTGTACTGGTAGGTTTTCCGTCAATCTATATTTTCATTGTCCTCTTGTTACCGAGAAGTAAAAAACAAGAACAAATCTATTTCCATACCTGAGGATGTCTGTAGGAACAGACGAAAGCTTGTAAAAACTAAAAAAGACCTTATGTAACTGGAATTTATAAACAGGGATCATATCATTCATATACAGGTTCGGGGTTAGTGTACTTTATTGAAATTGTTTGCGAAGATGTATTCTCGCCATTTAAATCATTAACCTCTATATTTGTTTTTTGTATGAATGATTCATATAATATATATATATATATATATATATATATATGTATTACTTGAACATTATTATTAATGGATACCGATGTTTGAGTAGATACTTAGTTTATTTATTAAACGCTATATTTATTTAATTATATCTACTGGTCTGAATATTCAAGAAATCTTATTAAAGAAAAATATGTACTCTCTGGCATTTTTCTGGAATTATCAGGCTGGTAGACAAAAATAAATATACTGTTTAATAAATAAACTGACCGTCTACTCAAATATGGGTAACCACTAATAATAATATTTAAGTAATAAAATCTGTTGGATTAATAGATAAAGCAATCCATTACTTCTCTTATATATATATATATATATATATATATATATATATATATATATATATATATATTGTATGTGGGTGTATTTTGTCATTTGAAAATATATGTAAATATGGTACATGTATGTTTAAAAATTAATTTAAATGTATATTATATGCAAAACTTAACACACAAAATGCCTTCTATAAAGAAAAAAAGAAAATTTTATACTATATAAGTTTCTTTATTTTTTGGGGGGTGATTTCAAGAGATACAGGAAATGTCCTGCAAGACACAGGGAATGCTGGGTAACTTTCCAGATGAACAGATTAAACAATTTATTAAATGCCTTGAACTGTTGAATCACACTTCATGAATATTAATATTAATTACTGACTAAAGTTTAACAAGCATACACACAAAAAGGAATAGTATGTCAAACAAATGTTTTTGTTTTTTTTTATACCACTAATACTACATACTTCTATATCAATTTTATTATTTAAAAAACTATTTTCAGAATTATAATAAAACCCAAATATATGAAACTGAATTTATACATTCACTTTTATAAAAATATGGAAATCAACTACAATGTAATATTTATTATTTACCATTTTATAAAGAAATAACTATGAAAACATTTTTGTTCCAAAATTGATCAAATTTCTGTGAACTATAGCACAAGAAAAATTGCTCAAAGAGTATAGAGTAATAACATTGTCAAAAGAGAACATCCTTTTGATATTACGTTTAACTTTTCCCATTTCTCTTTACTCATGTATCTACATATTTGTACCTTAATATATGTTCTAATCATATATAATACAATATATGACAATGGACTATCCCATCAATTTCAACATATGAGGATCTAATAACCTCATTCAATTTTTATGTTTGCATCATATGTGACACTCTAGTGGACAGGCATACAAGTCCACATATTGTGCAACAACAAGGATCTCGGGACATAACAGCAGGAATATTTACTGATGCTTTTCAGCATTGTCTTTCGTCTCTTAGTCAATATGACTGGTTTTGAAATTTCTGATACAAATCTGGTACAAATATCTCCATTATTTTTATCCAAGGCAGCTCACTCGAAGTTAGTATGAGGCACATTGACAGCCAAAAGGTTACTCTTTAGCTTGTCTATATACCTGAGCCATGGCCATCCAACAGTGCTTTGTCCACTGTCAAGCTGGCTATACATGATATATAATATATATATATATAGGTATGATGAGAATGAATAAAGTACA